GGAAAGGTCACCTCTGAAGGAAGGGTCACCTCTGAAGGAAGGGTTACCTCTGAAGGAAAGGTCACCTCTGAAGGAAGGGTCACCTCTGAAGGAAGGGTTACCTCTGAAGGAAGGGTCACCTCTGAAGGAAGGGTTACCTCTGAAGGAAAGGTCACCTCTGAAGGAAGGGTTACCTCTGAAGGAAGGGTTACCTCTGAAGGAAAGGTCACCTCTGAAGGAAGGGTCACCTCTGAAGGAAGGGTTACCTCTGAAGGAAGGGTCACCTCTGAAGGAAGGGTTACCTCTGAAGGAAAGGTCACCTCTGAAGGAAGGGTCACCTCTGAAGGAAAGGTCACCTCTGAAGGAAGGGTCACCTCTGAAGGAAGGGTTACCTCTGAAGGAAGGGTCACCTCTGAAGGAAGGGTCACCTCTGAAGGAAGGGTTACCTCTGAAGGAAGGTCACCTCTGAAGGAAGGGTTACCTCTGAAGGAAGGGTCACCTCTGAAGGAAGGGTTATCTCTGAAGGAAGGCAGGGAAAGCAGCAACTCTCAATTAAGAAGACGGAAGAGACCACATTACTAAAATAACATTATCAACAGGACACTTTTCCTCTTCCTTCCAACCTTCCCTCTTCCCTCTTCCCCTCTCCCTTCCCCCTCCCCTCTTCCCCCTTCCTCTCTCCCCTCGTTTATCTCTCTGGTGTAGTTGCTATCACATTACCTTAACCCCCCAACGAACAGCATTATGCTGACACCCAAACCTGGTGCCCCACCTTAGTTTGAAGTTCAATCTATAAGTCATCCCTCAGTGCTCGCCGTGGAGCAATTAGGCAGCGCCTCTGTCTAGCAGTTATCCGAGACGTAGGATCGAGCCTCCACCTCTCCATACGGGGTTACTGCTCCACGAGATGCGTGTGTGCCATCTCTCGCACCTAGTTGGTACCAGGCTCGTCTTGCCGGCACCTGGGACAAGTAGCATGGGGCTTAGAGAGTAAGCCAGGCAGGTGATCAACTGATATTACTTGCTCTCCCACACGCAGCAGTCTAAGCTTCCCTGGATGCTGCACACACAACAATCACCATCAATAAGCAAATCTTGTTACGTCTTCGGAAGTGCCTTTATACCAACTCAAAGATAAAGGGGGAGATTGTAATACTGTATATTATACTGTGTGTGTGTGTGTGTGTGTGTGTGTGTGTGTGTGTGTGTACTCACATAATTGTGGCTACAGGGGTCGAGTCATAGCTCCTGTGTGTGTGTATATTCGAGTGGGTGATGAGGTGTACCATTTTTACAATTAATCCGCAACGAATTCGCATGTAAGCAGTGATATTACAAAAATAATGAGAGGTGCGGTACATATCGGCCTCACACTGAGGCCCACTTCAGTGGACAGCGACTCTCTACTGAGAAATATCTAAATAACGAAAATATTACTTAGAAATAATATTTACCCTCTTTTCATTCACCCGTCAATGGCCTGCCGCAGGTCTTAGCAACTTGCTGGGGCCTGTGCGACCTGCGGCCTCACATCGTTGCGACCTCCTCTTTCCCGTCAGCTTTCTAGCCCATTATCCAATTATTCTTGCTTTTACACGAAGACTGCTGACAGACTTCACCTGTGTAACATCCCAAATCTCGTAAATAAATAAGTCAAAAATACGATAAAGAAAAGCTATTTATGTTACTATCAATAAATAAGCTAATCTGTTTTATTATTTCCGTGCAACGCTGACGTATTAAATCTTGATCCTTCGAAATCCACACAATCCTCTCCCACAGCCCCGTAATCACACACAAATTTGGTCCAAATCCTTAGCCAGTTTCTAGGGTGTTTCGGACACGGGAAGACAAAGAGTTTCAGCAGTGTTTTGAGGACAGGAAGACAAAGGCAGTTACCAAATCATCCTGAGGACAAGAAGATAAAGGAAGTTGCCATATCATCCTGAGGACAGGAAGATAAAGGAAGTTGCCATATTATTCTGAGGACAAGAAGATAAAGGAAGTTGCCATATCATCCTGAGGACAGGAAGATAAAGGAAGTTGCCAAATCATCCTGAGGACAAGAAGATAAAGGAAGTTGCCATATCATCCTGAGGACAGGAAGATAAAGGAAGTTGCCAAATCATCCTGAGGACAAGAAGGTAAAGGAAGTTGCCATATCATCCTGAGGACAGGAAGATAAAGGAAGTTGCCAAATCATCCTGAGGACAGAAAGATAAAGGAAGTTGCCATATCATCCTGAGGACAGAGAGACAAAGACGGCTTCTGTGGCGTATGGCAGATAGGCGCACAAAGGCAGTTTCTGTTGGATTTTGTGGCTAGGAAGACAAAGGCGATATTCTAGGTAGTTTGGAAGACAGGAAGACACTTTCATTGGTATGCTATGGATAGGAAAACAATTTCTGCCGTGTTTTGGGGACAAGAAGACAAAGTCAGTTTCTGTGGCATTGGTTTTCTGTGGTCTGGAAGGACAAGACACCTTTGGTGGGATTTTGTAGACGGGAGGATTTAAGAGTGTTTAACATCTTATTGATGCCTGCTGCTGTTGTAGCTGTTGTTGTTGCTGTAGCTGTTGTTGCTGCTGCTGTAGCTGTTGTTGTTGCTGCTGTTGTAGCTGTTGTTGTTGCTGCTGCTGTAGCTGTTGCTGTTGCTGCTGCTGTAGCTGTTGTTGTTGCTGCTGTTGTAGCTGTTGTTGTTGCTGCTGCTGTAGCTGTTGTTGTTGCTGCTGTTGTAGCTGTTGTTGTTGCTGCTGTTGTAGCTGTTGTTGTTGCTGCTGCTGTAGCTGTTGTAATTGCTGCTGCTGTAGCTGTTGTTGTTGCTGCTGCTGTAGCTGTTGTAGTTGTTGCTGCTGTAGCTGTTATAGTTGCTGCTGCTGTAGCTGTTGTTGTTGCTGCTGCTGTAGCTGTTGTTGTTGCTGCTGTTGTAGTTGTTGTTGTTGTTGCTGCTGTAGCAGTTGTTGTTGCTGCTGTTGTAGCTGTTGTTGTTGCTGCTGCTGTAGCTGTTGTTGTTGCTGCTGTTGTAGCTGTTGTTGTTGCTGCTGCTGTAGCTGTTGTAGTTGCTGCTGCTGTAGCTGTTGATGTTGCTGCTGTTGTTGCTGTTGTCGTTGCTGCTGCTGTAGATGTTGTTGTTGCTGCTGCTGTAGCTGTTGTTGTTGCTGCTGTTGTAGCTGTTGTTGTTGCTGCTGCTGTAGCTGTTCTTGTTGCTGCTGTTGTAGCTGTTGTTGTTGCTGCTGCTGTAGCTGTTCTTGTTGCTGCTGTTGTAGCTGTTGTTGTTGCTGCTGCTGTAGCTGTTGTTGTTGCTGCTGCTGTAGCTGTTGTTGTTGCTGCTGCTGTTGCTGTTGTCGTTGCTGCTGCTGTAGATGTTGTTGTTACTGCTGCTGTAGCTGTTGTCGTTGCTGCTGCTGTAGCTGTAACTGTTGTTGTTACTGCTGCTGTAGCTGTTGTTGTTGCTGCTTCTGTAGCTGTAACTGTTGTTGTTACTGCTGCTGTAGCTGTTGTTGTTGCTGCTGCTGTAGCCGTAGCTGTTGCTGTTGCTGCTGCTGTAACTGTAGCTGTTGTTGTTGCTGCTGCTGTAGCTGTAGCTGTTGTTGTTGCTGCTGCTGTAGCTGTTGTTGTTGCTGCTGCTGTAGCTGTTGTTGTTGCTGCTGCTGTAACTGTAGCTGTTGTTATTGCTGCTTCTGTAACTGTAGCTGTTGTTGTTGCTGCTGCTGTAGCTGTTGTTGTTGCTGCTGCTGTAGCTGTAGCTGTTGTTATTGCTGCTTCTGTAACTGTAGCTGTTGTTGTTGCTGCTGCTGTAGCTGTTGTTGTTGCTGCTGCTGTAGCTGTTGTTGTTGTTGCTGCTGTAGCTGTTGTTGTTGCTGCTGCTGTAGCTGTAGCTGTTGTTGCTGCTGCTGTAGTTGTTGTTGTTGCTGCTGTAGCTGTTGTTGTTGCAGCTGCTGTAGCTGTTGTTGCTGCTGCTGCTGTTGCTGTTGCTGTTTCTGCTGTTGTTGCTGTTATTGGCCAACTCAGGAAAATGTTTGTATAACGAAACAGCACAGCCACGCTGAACAAAGTTCAGTGAACAACAACAACAGCTCAGCAAAGCTGCTAGAACAAAGTCTCCCCCCCCTGTACAACGTCCTCTGAACAACGTCCCCTGAACAACGTCCCCTGAACAACATCCCCTGAACAACGTCCCCTCTGTACAACGTCCTCTGAACAACGTCCCCTGCACAACGTCCTCTGAACAATGTCCCCCTGAACAACGTCCCTGAACAACGTCCCCCTGAACAACGTCCCCCCTGAACAACGTCCCCTAAACAACGTCCCTCTGAACAACGTCCCCTGAACAACGTCCCCTGAACAACGTCCTCTGAACGTCCCCTGAACAACGTCCCTGAACAACGTCCCCTCTGAACAACGTCCCCTGAACAACGTCCCCTGAACAACGTCCCCTGAACAACGTCCCCTGAACAACGTCCCCCTGAACAACGTCCCCCTGAACAACGTCCCCCTGAACAACGTCCCCCTGAACAACGTCCCCCTGAACAACTTCCCCCTGAACAACGTCCCCCTGAACAACGTCCCCCTGAACAACGTCCCCTGAACAACGTCCCCTGAACAACGTCCCCTGAACAACGTCCCCCTGAACAACGTCCCCCTGAACAACGTTCCCCTGAACAACATCCCCTGAACAACGTCCCCCTGAACAACGTCCTCTGAACAACGTCCCCTGAACACGTCCCCCTGAACAACGTCCCTCTGAACAACGTCCCCTGAACAACGTCCCCCTGAACAACGTCCCCCTGAACACGTCCCCCTGAACAACGTCCCCCTGAACAACGTCCCCCTGACAACGTCCACTGAACAACGTCCACTGAACAACGTCCCCTGAACAACGTCCCCCTGAACAACGTCCCCCTGAACAACGTCCCCCTGAACAACGTCCCCCTGAACAACATCCCCCTGAACAACGTCCCCCTGAACAACGTCCTCTGAACAACGTCCCCTGAACGTCCCAGTGAACAACGTCCCCCTGAACAACGTCCCCTGAACAACGTCCCCCTGAACAACGTCCCCCTGAACAACGTCCCCCTGAACAACGTCCCCCTGAACAACGCCCCCTGAGCAACGTCCTCTGAACAACATCCACTGAACAACGTCCCCTGAACAACGTCCCCCTGAACAACGTCCCCCTGAACAACGTCCCCTGAACAATGTTACTCAAACGATCGACCGAAACATCGCTAACAAGACATTTACACTGCCTCTCTGTGCTAATTATAAAAATTACCTTCAACATTAAATTATTAAAAACGATGCGAGTACCATTAAGTTTCCTTCCCACCAGCTGTGAAGGAAGACAATTTCTGCACCAGCTGTGAAGGAAGACAATTTCTGCACCAGCTGTGAAGGAAGACAATTTCTGCACCAGCTGTGAAGGAAGACAATTTCTGCACCAGCTGTGAAGGAAGACAATTTCTGCACCAGCTGTGAAGGAAGACAATTTCTGCACCAGCTGTGAAGGAAGACAATTTCTGCACCAGCTGTGAAGGAAGACAATTTTTGCACAAGCTGTGAAGGAAGACAATTTCTGCACCAGCTGTGAAGGAAGACAATTTCTGCACCAGCTGTGAAGGAAGACAATTTCTGCACCAGCTGTGAAGGAAGACAATTTCTGCACCAGCTGTGAAGGAAGACAATTTCTGCACCAGCTGTGAAGGAAGACAATTTCTGCACCAGCTGTGAAGGAAGACAATGTCTGCACCAGCTGTGAAGGAAGACAATTTCTGCACCAGCTGTGAAGGAAGACAATTTCTGCACCAGCTGTGAAGGAAGACAATTTCTGCACCAGCTGTGAAGGAAGACAATGTCTGCACCAGCTGTGAAGGAAGACAATTTCTGCACCAGCTGTGAAGGAAGGCAATTTCTGCACCAGCTGTGAAGGAAGACAATTTCTGCACCAGCTGTGAAGGAAGACAATTTCTGCACCAGCTGTGAAGGAAGACAATTTCTGCACCAGCTGTGAAGGGGAGAAAATACCCCCACCAGCTGTGAAGGGGAGAAAATACCCCCACCAGCTGTGAAGAGGAGAAAATACCCCCGCCAGCCGTGAAGGGGAGAAAATACCCCCACCAGCCACCAGCCGTGAAGGGGAGAAAAATACCCCCACCAGCCGTGAAGGGAAGAAAATACTCCCACCAGCTGTGAAGGGGAGAAAATACCCCCACCAGCCGTGAAGAGGAGAAAATACCTCCCCAGCCGTGATGGGGAGAAAATACCCCCACCAGCCGTGAAGGGGAGAAAATACCCCCACCAGCCGTGAAGGGAAGAAAATACTCCCACCATCTGTGAAGGGGAGAAAATACCCCCACCAGTCGTGAAGGGGAGAAAAAATCCCCACCAGCTGTGAAGGGGGGAAAATACCCCCACCAGCTGTGAAGGGGAGAAAATACCCCCACCAGCCGTGAAGGGGAGAAAATACCCCCACCAGCCGTGAAGGGGATAAAATACCCCCACCACCGTGAAGGGAGAAAATACCCCCACCAGCCGTGAAGGGGAGAAAATACCCCCACCAGCCGTGAAGGGAAGAAAATACCCCCACCAGCAGTGAAGGGGATAAAATACCCCCACCAGCAGTGAAGGGGAGAAAATACCCCCACCAGCCGTGAAGGGGAGAAAATACCCCCACCAGCCGTGAAGGGGAGAAAATACCTCCACCAGCTGTGAAGGGGAGAAAATACCCCACCAGCCGTGAAGGGGAGAAAATACCCCCACCAGCCGTGAAGGAGAGAAAATACCCCCACCAGCTGTTAAGGGGAGAAAATACCCCCACCTGCCGTGAAGGGGAGAAAATACCCCCACCAGTCGTGAAGGGGAGAAATACCCCCACCAGCCGTGAAGGAGAGAAAATACCCCCACCAGCTGTGAAGGGGAGAAAATACCCCCACCACCGTGAAGGAGAAAAATACCCCCACCAGCTGTGAAGGGGAGAAATACCCCCACCTGTCGTGAAGGGGAGAAAATACCCCCCACCAGCCGTGAAGGAGAGAAAATACCCCACCACTGTTAAGAAGAGAAAATACCCCCCACCTGTCGTGGAGGGAGAAAATACCCCCCCCCAGCTGTGAAGGGAGAAAATACCCCCACCAGCTGTTAAGAAGAGAAAATACCCCACCAGCCGTGAAGGAGAGAAAATACCCCCACCAGCTGTTAAGAAGAGAAAATACCCCCACCTGTCGTGGAGGGGAGAAAATACCCCCACCAGCTGTGAAGGGGAGAAAATACCCCCACCAGCCGTGAAGGGGAGAAAATACCCCCACCAGCTGTGAAGGGGAGAAAATACCCCCACCAGCCGTGAAGGGGAGAAAATACCCCCACCAGCCGTGAAGGAGAGAAAATACCCCCACCAGCTGTTAAGAAGAGAAAATACCCCCACCTGTCGTGGAGGGGAGAAAATACCCCCACCAGCTGTTAAGGTGAGAAAATACCCCCACCAGCCGTGAAGGAGAGAAAATACCCCCACCAGCTGTGAAGGGGAGAAAATACCCCCACCAGCTGTTAAAAGGAGAAAATACCCCCACCAGCCGTGAAGGGGAGAAAATACCCCCACCAGCTGTGAAGGGGAGAAAATACCCCCCCAGCCGTGAAGGGGAGAAAATACCCCCACCGCCGTGAAGGGGAGAAAATACCCCCACCAGCCGTGGAGGGGAGAAAATACCCCCACCAGCCGTGAAGGATAGAAAATACCCCCACCAGCTGTTAAGGGGAGAAAATACCCCCACCTGCCGTGAAGGGGAGAAAATACCCCCACCATAATAATAATAATAATAATAATATATAATAATAATAATAATAATAATATAATAATAAAATAATAGTAATAATAATAATAATAATAATAATAATATAATAATGAATAATAATAATAATAATAATAATAAAAATAATAATAATAATAATAATAATAATAATAATAATAATAGTAATAATAATAATA